AGAAGCTTTAGAATGTTGTAAGTTCAACTTAATGGGCAATTCTATAATAAGCTTAGAAGACCAGAAGGGATGCCTACTATGCAGAATAGGCTCCCATCTCTCATATACATATCCATGACCTAAGATTTGTGGAAAACTGAACATTTTAAAAGTATCTATTTTTATTTTATGTGTATGGGTGTTTTGCCTGAATGTAAGCACACAATGTGCAGACGTAGTGCTCATGAAGGCCAGAGTTAGATTCCCTGGAACTGGAGTTACATGTCATAAGCTGCCATATGAGTACTGAGAACAGATACCAGGACCTCAACAAGAAGAGCACATGCCCTCAACCTCTGAGCTTTCTCCCCATCCCTTGTGGAAAGCTGAATTTCTAGGGAGACTGACTACAGCAAAAATTTTTTGACAAAATCTGCAATTTGGTCAGAAAAGCCTGCTTAAAGTGGGGGCTAAGGTATTTCTGAGTGGCTAGATTAAGGTCATTAATATGGAGCCAAATACTTCGACAATAGAAAAGATTCTTTAAGGGTGGGTGAGGAATTGGTCATACTTTACCCATTGATGATTCAATGGATATCACCACTTAAATTTCTTTGAAAAATCTTCCTTTGGGAAAAGAGTAATTCCAGGATAATCTGCTTATACCAAAATGGGCCACTGAGAATTTCCCTACATTTATCAATCCAAGCCACTGCAACTAAGGGCAAAGGAGAATGACTGCTCAGGCTGGTGGCAGACCTTGACATTAACATTGTACATGTTATTTCACAGAGATATAGAATGCAAAAGTGGTGAAAGCCACTAGTAAGATTTCAACACAAGGCCTGGGAAGTCAGTTAATATATGGCAGAAGCATGATTCATACAGGTTACCCAAGGGGATAATACATAAAGCTGCAAGGGTAAAACCTAAGCTCCAGTGAAGAATCCAGGGTATTTAAGACGCAATCAATATCAAAAGTGCTGAGAAAGCCACAATTAGTAAAGTCACCAGATAGCTGTCTCGTGGGCTTCAAATGTCAAAGTCATAGAGATGAGGCTGCCTAAGCACACTGCAGCTCGCCTGTTGACATCATGTGTCCCAAATTCTAGAAATGGAACTATAAGACTCAATATTTGCACCTCTGGGTTTTAGTATTGTTTTAATCTAGCCCTTTCTTTGTTTCCCATTCCTCCCACTGCAGTGGGAATGAATACTCTGCATTAAGTATGCTTTTTCCTGACAGAGATTCACACTAAAGATTCCACTTTCAATATCACAGAATGTTTGAACTGTTAAACCAGTGGAGAAAGATTAGTAACTATGAGATGACCATGGATATGGATATGAGAGGTATCCATCATATTTGTGGTTGAACTCTTGGTTCAAAGCACTCTTTAGGGAAGTTCCAAAAACTTTATATGTTGAAGAAGATTCAAAATCAGGTCACATGGGGGTCTGCCTTTGAAAGTCATACTATTTCCCATCTTACTCTGGTCCCATAAGCAAAGAAACTCCTCTACCATAATTTCCAGTAGCCATGATGTTCTGTCAAGATGCATGGAGCCAAGCAACCATGGACTTAACATCCTGAAACTATGGGTTAAAATAAATCCTTCCTCCCTTTAAATTGTTTGTTATGCATTGGGCCACAGCAATAAAACGTAACTAATACATGTCTTAAAATAAATTCATCTTAAAAGTAACGACACGAAAAAAATAGAGAGAATTAGTGTTTGGAGTATGATTGCCCCTCTAAAGCTAGTATTAGAGTTCAGTCCTTATCAAGATGAGATATGAAGAATGTAGAAACTCAATCAAGTATGGTGTGTCTGTAGTCTAAGCTACTCAAGAATAGGCTAAAACAAAAAGGATTAATGGAGCCCAGAAGTTCCAGGACAGTCTAGGCAACATAGCAAGACCTATCTCTCATCAATAAATGTGAATGTTTAATTTGTAAGAGCAAGAAAGACCAACCACATAAATACTGTCTTTTTTTGGTCCCATTGGAACCACTAACAAGAAAGGCATCACCAGATGCAGCTTATTTAACGTTTCACTATAACCATAAACCAAAACAAGCCTCCCTACACATCACTTGTTCTTCATTACTATATAATTAGCAAAGAAAACAAACCAAGATAGATGTCTACAAGATACAAAAGGAATAGTGTAGACAAAATGGCAAGTTGGTTTTTAGTGCTTTAAATACAACAGAAGTAGTACTACAACAGCAGTTCTTTGAAATCTCCATAAATAACTCAGTTGTTTGCCAATGTGACTGCAGAACCTGGAATAGCAAATTTACACTGTGTGCTCTCTAAGAAGTATCTGTTGAAAAGAACACAGAAGGAAGAGAAGAATGGAGAGGACAGTATATGGCACCACTTTTCCCTAACAATAAAATATAGCAAAGAAATCTACTAGTATTATAATATTAGCTTTGGAAATGCCTGTCTTATTGATAGTTCATGTTTTAAAACACTTTTCCAGTTGTCCAACCACAGTCACTTTGCTTTGTTTGATGGTGATTTTGTTCACCTGCTTCACTATATCATCTAGCACTTGCAGAGATATCAAATAACAGCAGCTTTGGTTAGCTTTCTTTTTGTCTTTTCTCTATACATAAGCTGGTCTCATGCAGCCCAGAAAGATCTTGAACCTCCTACATCCACCTACAAAGTGCTGAGACTACAAATGTGCACTACCATGCTGACCCATTAAGTTGCTTTCTGACTGGATGTTTCTAGCTTTTCCCATCACTGAACATGATGCTGAGTGTGGCTTAAAATATTCATCTAAGGACTCAAATTTGCATTAGATACAGAAAATATTTTATACTGGATAAATTTTCTTTAGTTTACTACAATACTGAATTTATACTAAAACATTTTAAATAATTAATTATCTCCAGTTTCTGGAAAGCCATATTTTGTCAATATAGTTTCTAGCACATCATCAGGATACTACTAGATAAATATAAATTGTGTTTCAAATAGTGTGAGATTACCAAATCTTCTAGTCATGTTTTAGTAATAGTGTTTCTTTCTTTATGCTGTGGGTCAATTCATGTAACATCAGAATCATCTATTCCTTACATGTTTAAAAAATATCTACCAGTGCAGCTGCCCTTGGCACTACAGCTCTTTACTAATTTTCTTGATTTCTACACTTATGGATGTTTGCATTTTTCACAGATTCTAAATTATTTCTAAATTTATTTCACCAACAAATTCTTAAGTCTAGGTACCCATTTAACCTATAAGAAAAATGAGTTATAAGGACCAGAAATGAAGAAACAAAACTGTATTTAATTTATTAACAGAATTTGAAAAACTCTGGATACAAAAGTCAATAAATAAGCTAACTGAATTTCTACGTGCGAGAAAATAAATGATCATTTAAATAGCATAAAAAGTTATCAAAAATAAGTTAAAAGATGTTAAAAAGATAAACTAATGGAGAAATCTCTGTCCATGAATTTAGAGACTCATAAGCATGTTCATTCTATAAGCTAGAGAGACAATCACCAATTAAAATTTCAGTAATGTCCTTTGTAGTTTTATATAAGCTAATTCTAACAATTTTTCAATTTTTATTGCAAGTTTTGTAGAGAGCAATAAAGCCAAGAAACCCTTGAAGAGGTGTTACATTTGGGAAGTGGGAGGAAGAAATTATCAAAAAAGTTTGTAAAGCTACAGTACTTAGAATAGGAGGGGCACAGGGATAGACAAATAGACCAATTAAACAACATAAAAATCTTGACAGCATTACTTTGAGTAAGCCATCAGCACCTCTTCTTTTTTCAATAGATTTTTTAAAAAATTCTAGAACATGTGTGGTGATATTTTGTTCATGATTTAACAAAGAAAATTTGCCTTAACATCAGATTGCTAAGCTAGTCACACTAGTCAGCCATAGAGGCCAGGCAGTAGTGGTACATACCTTTAATTCCAGCACTTGGGAGACAGAGGCAGAGGGACTCTGTTAATTCAATGCCACCTTGGGCTACATGAAACTGATCCAGTCTAAAAAAGAAACAAAGCTCACACAAAGATGATCCCATCACTTGTTCCAGCACTAAGGAGATAGAGACAGAGAATGGATATGGCTGGGCAGAGAGGGGACTATAAGGCGGAAAAAGATAGGGACTCAGCTTGCAGTCTGAGTAACAGGCAGTTAGGCAATCAGTCTGAGTATGCATTCAGTATGAAGATTCCTGGAGATAAGATTGCCCATTTGGTATGATGTAGAGGTAAGAGCTAATAGCTGGCTGCTTTCACCCTAATAACTGACTCTTAAGTTTTTATTATTAAGAACAATCAGGATTTGTTCAACAAACATGTACACTAGGACATAGTATATATGGATTAAACAGCACTGTTAAAAACTGCAGCTAGCACACTGCCTAGGCATCTAATAAATATACGCTAGATGCATGGTAGCATGTTGATAAAGTAGAAAGTAATAATATAAAGAAATAAAATACAACTATATACATAAGAAACACCAATGTCAAGGAAAAGCAGAACTTCATTATGGTGATTCAGCTGTACGTAAAAACAACATATTGTTTAGATATGTACATATAAGTAGTGAAGAAAAAAGAGAAACTTTCACTAAAAAGTCACTGTAAGTAATTCCCTTGGGAGATGGGGGAGACAAGCAATACCCTTTTCAGAAGTCCTGTCATCATTCTACTTCTTCATCTGGGTGGAATTACACAGGTATGCTTATTATTCTTTGAACGTACATATTCAGTTCACATTTTCCATTACAATACATTTTCTTCCTGGTAGTGCTGAGGATCAAACACAGAGTCCCATATCTGTAAGAAAAGCACTTACCAGTTCAGCTATATCCCCAGATCCATGGTAAATTTTCAAAGACTACTTCTGACAGAATATATCAACAGTTGCTGCAATCTCTACTTAATGGAAATCAATGCTTACTTATTCACTGAATCCTGAAGAGAACAGACATTTGTATCCTCACAACTTACAAGTCTGAAGATAACATACCTTATATAGTCCAAAGCCAGGATCAATAAGACAAGTGCGAGCTGATGTAGATGGCTGACTGGAAGATCCCCCTCTTGCTGTTTTCTTTACTTTAGGCTGATTATTAGAACAGGGCTTAGCCTGAACATCATTCTGCTTAGATGTGCTAGGAAGACTGGAGTCTGGACGAACTAGCAGCTGAATTATATCATTCAGTCCAACGTCGTAGTCAAATAAAGTATATCCATTCTCCAACTGGAAAAAGAATAGACAACTATACTGAAGTGCTTACCACAAAACTTACATTTCTACCTGTTTAGTTTGTTCAAATATCCTAGATAAGCTATTAAAATTGACAACACTGCAAATTAATGATCTTGAAATGGTTCTTACTACTTTATGGCTTCTAATATCAATATCCTCTCTGGACCCCAATAAATCCTTAAGAACCACTCCAAATTAACTACAGATAACACTACATGCCATTAAAATAAAATCTGTATTACAGCCACTTCAATATCATGCTATAGTACCCCCCCAAAAAAAACCAAACTTCTCTAAACTACATTTGACATCTCATAATTTTCCTTGTTGTTTCCTAGTCTATACAGTCTCTCTATACAGCCCAGGCTAGCCTCAAACTCGTGATCCTGTCTCAGCCTTCCAATTGTGCTACTACAGGATCTCTCAACAAATTTTATTTTAATCAACAGCACCTAAATCCACTCCAAGTATGGGGAGAATAAATTTAGAAAGTGAGAAGTCTTACTGCTTTTTTAAACCTGCATGTAGTAATGGTTATCAAGCACTTTCTCTTTTAAAAGCACAATTAATAATTCTTTTTAAGTGAAGCAACATTTTAAAAAATCAGAAATATATTCCAATTACACTATATTCCATTTCTCTACAGTTCTCTAATTCAGTCTATTTGCAAATATTATCAAGTTTTGTCACAAAGTCATCTAGGATAAATAGTATATAAATTATCTTGCAATTTGCCCATATTTTCAGAAGGTTATGGACTAATCTGTGTCCATAGCAGTTGACTATTCAACTGGTACAATAACACAAGAAAATTAAACTCCTTAAAGATGAAAACTGCCGTTTCTTCAGAAACATCAGTTTAAGCACTGCATTCACCATTCTTATATTCAATATCAATCACCACTCATGACTGTGTAATACAATAACATGATATTTAAGAATTCAACTACAGCGAAAGGGCAGAGAAAAACATCTGTCCTTTAATTCACTAATGTGAGATTTATTTAAGTGACAGACTCAAGACCATAACTAACACAATTATACAGTTTACAAGTATTCATATTTGTTAAATAGACTAAGGTATCAAGATTTCACAACCTTTCCAGTAGAAGGATTGGGAATTAAACTAGTTACCATCTCATAGCTTAGTTAACATATTTAACCAGAGGGGCTCTCTTTAACCAGGCAGTACTCTTCCTGGGTTCAATCCTCAACAACAACAACAACAACAACAACTCTCTCTCTTCTCCCCCCCCCCACCTCTGTCTCTGGCTCTCTAAGTACCAAAGGCAGTAAGCAAGTAAGCCTTCATATGATTAGGAATGTTAATATATTTAAAATATAAACACCAAGTCAGTCACAAACCCTTTCTACAATGGTGTCCTGCCTGCAAGATATATGCTAGGGCAATGGTGGTACAAAAGCTTGTGGGAGTAACCAACCAATATCTGATTTGACTCATGAGATAGAATCCATACCCAATACTACTTGGTTGAGCAGGAACCTGAGACTAGATAGTCAGGGACCCAGAGTAAAACCACTTAATACTGGTGTAAAGAGAAGAAGAAAAGAGTGATGATAAAATGACTCAATAATACTCTGCTATAAACATAGATCAATGCCTTGTTCAGCTATCATCAGTGAAGCTTCTTCCTGCAGCAGATGGAAATACAGAAATCTACAGCCAAACATTATGAAAAGTGAGACACCTTGGAGTACTCATCCCATGGGATGTCGCCATCAAATTCCTCCCCCTCAGAGCTCAGTGGGTGATGGAGGACACCAAGAAAACAAGGTCCCCTAAATCAACATGATCAAAGCTCCTATGAAGACACAGAGACTGAAGCAGCATGTACATGGCTCTTATCAGGTCCAGGTCCTGAGGATATATTATGGCTTCCAGTTTAGTATTTTTATGGCATTCCTTAGTGCATGAACAAGCGAATCTCTGACTCTTGTGCCTATTCTTGGATTCTTTTCCTTCTGTTGGTCTGTCTCATCTGACTGTGATGTGAGAATTTTTATATTATTCTATTTTTTTATATTCTCAAAAGAGAAAGAGGGGGGAGAGAAGGAGGAAGGAAGGAGGCCAGACAGCCTAGCTATTTAGGGCAAAGGTTAACAACTAAGCCGAAAGACTTATACCTGCTGGGAGAGGGAAAATCAGTTTTCTCTAAATCACTCCAACACAGACCTCATGTTCAGGAGTACCTGACAAACATATAATGGACTCTATAGTGGTTTTTTTGTGTGTTTTTATCTGGTTACAGTTAGGTGTATCTTTTTTTCTTTCTGGATGTAGTTTTCTTTCCTTGGTCTTGGGGGATTTTGTTGCTGTATTGAGTTTTGTTTTGTTTTTGAGAAAGAACTTAAAGATGGGAAGGTAAGAAGGGGGGCAGGATCTGGAAAGACTTGGGGGAGGGTTAGAATATTAGCAAAATATATTAAAACTTTAACTTGTTTTAAATAAAGGAGGGGGCTTTGAGATGGCTTAGAGTAAAGGTTTGGCTGCCAAGCCTGAGGACCTGAGTTTGAGCCTTAGGAGCTACATGGTGAACCGACTCCTACAAGTAGTTCTCTGACCTCTACATGTGTTACATACAGCACACACACACAAATAAATAAATATAAAAATAATTACAACAACGACAAAAAGAAAGTACTCTTTAATCCTAAACCTTCCCTAGGAAGGAAGGGAAAGCACTCAGAAGAACAAAATGTGCCTTTTCCTTTTCTGGGGACGGTGTTTAGAGGCACTCAGAATGGTCCAGTGTCTGACATACCCTCATAAGCCTTCCTACAATACAGCCTCTAACCAAACTAGGCTGTCTCGAACCCCTGGCAACAGGACTGTTTACCTTTAGATCAAGGTTGGGAAAGCACCTAATTCACATGTGGTGTGCACCCAGGTAACTTCCAGGGGTTAGTGCTGTGAGACCAAAAGTCCTTATGAGACTGTTTAAGACAAAGAAGCATGTCAGTAGGGCCTACAGTGGTTCCATGTGTGCTAAGTGTGTTCATGACAGGACCAAGAGGTCTTCCCTTATGGAAGAGCAGAAAACTGTTGTCAAAGTGTTGAAGGCACAAGCACAGTCAGAAAGTAAGATAATATGCAGTTTTAAAGTAATAAAGTCAAGACTTGGTAAAAAAAAAAACCAACACAACATGCATTTATACCTTCATTTGACATTCTTCAATAGCCAAAAATAAAACACCCTAATTCTGAAACAGTTATAAATGTACAACTTTGTCTAGACAATATAATAAACATGGCAATTGTTTTAAAATTTTAAAAGAAAATCAAAACTCTAAAATAGCATAAACCATCCAAATGTACTAGCAATCCATTCCCAAAAATACAGACAGACAACACATTAAAGAAGTCACATTAAGATAAATATTGTGACACACATAATCCTTCCACTTTGTAGGGTGAGGCAGGAGGATCCCAAGTTTAAGGCCAGACTGAGCTCCATAATGAGACCTAGCTTAAGGGGGTGGTAAATAATTATGAGTTGAAGATATTTCCATTACATTTTTATTGATGTTTGAGGCATAAGCGTCAGAGAGACCTTAGGAGTAAATATGCCTACAAACCTTAACTACTTTCTACTGCCAAGAATGACTTTAAGTTGCTTTCAGTGGTGCTTTCTGAATTTGGTATGACAGGAAGTGTTGAATGAATTTATAATTAAGACAGAATTTCCAACATCTTCTAGAAGGACCCTAAACATATTTGTCATTTTGAACCACATATTTACACAAAGCAGCACTCTCATCATTGACTATAAAATCAAAATTATCAAGTCTGTAAAATGTTGAGATGTTATGTCCTGAAGTATCAGATATTCAATCCAGATTTAATTCTTTATATAAAAATAAACATATCCACATAGTAAACATGCAAATTTTATTGTTTTAATGAATGATAAGATTATATGAATACCAAATAATTTCAAAATTAACTGTGACTTATTAGCAGTATATTTGATTGGCATACCTATTTTCAACACTTTTCTTGGGCTAAAGGAGTTCCAAGTAGAAAGTTTTACAAGCCCTGATCTAGAAATTGCAAATACCTATAGGCTCAAAGTATATAACTCTAGTCCATCGATGTCTTATAGAAGTAAACAGTTCAGAACTACCACTTAAGAAATTCAAGGTGCAAGATTTTCAATTCCAAAGAAAGAGAAATGGTTAGGACTTCGTCAGATATACTACTGAATGTCTACTGTGTTAAAGAAGAAATCCCAGGAACTAGGAAAGGCTGCAATAACAATGCGAGGGAAACCAAGGGGGGTGGGAGATGAAGTGGCAGTGGCCAAAAAAGCAATAGGGAAAGTAATTTCCAGAGCACTGAGCAGTACTAGTGGAAGACACTGCAACTGTTACCTATCAGTCACAGACTAGAGAGACACACAGACACATTCTTTAAATAGATACTTTCATTTCTTTAAGTGAAAAAAATACGGAGGTGGGTGTCAACTGTTCAGTTTTTCTTCCAGTATGGTTCATATCCACATCTACAATCTATTTAAGGCTATCCCAATAGAGATGACAAGAGAAGGCAGGGAAATGGAATCTTTTAGAAGTCTCAAGAGCTCTAGATTCTAAGATTTAAAGATCAAAGCTTGGTGTTTGGTGTGTATGAGTAGGATTCACTCAGTGGTTAAGAGCACTAGTTACTCTTTCAGAGAACCAGGGTTGATCCCCAGCACCCACATAGTGGCTCACAACTGTCTCTAATTTCAGTTCCATGTCTGATGCCCTAATGTCCTCTTCCAACCTTTTCACATGGTGCAAAGACATACATTCCTGCAAAGCACCCATCTTTTTACAAGAAAAAAAGGTGGAAATCCTTGCACTGCTTCTCAAACTTCATTTGTACACAGAGCATCTGGAGACCCTGTAAACCACAGACTGCTTCGGAAGATCATTTTGAGGTTTCCGTGCAAACCGAATGCTATTGGCCCTGAGAATGCAGAAAGCACACTGAATAGAAAAGAAACTAGCAGGAAGCTAACCCTTCGGAAGTTCATTTCAGAGTCTGATGTTCATAAAAATTTCCCGTGAAGTTGGGAGTTGGAGACACACATCTCTCATCCCAATACTCAGGAGGCAGAGCCAGGCAGATCTCTGAGATCTCTGAGCTCAAGGCCAGTCTTATCTACAGAGTAAGTTCCATGACAGCCAGGCATACAAAGAGAAACCTTTCCTGGAGGAGATGGGGTTCCTGTGAAATCTGGTTAAATTCAACTACACTCCAAGATTAAATGCAGCAGAAATAGCACATTAGGGCACACTAAAATTGGATACATGTTAATACTTTTTTCAGACTAGGGTCTCACTGTGTTACCTAGGCCCCTTAAAATCCTGAGCTCCAGTGATCTTCCCATGTCAGCTTTTAGAATAGCTGGGAATACAGTGCCCAGTGTATGTAAATGTTTTACTTACAACATATGACAGTAAAATATCTTGAGAAAGGGCACCTCTTTTCTATTAAACATAAACTCAGTTTACAGGAAACAAATAGCCCTGTGGTACCAATTATCTGTCTGCTACCAGCACACTTTGCTATCTTCAACAACTGGAGAATATAAAAGACAAAACTAGCCCTGGAAGTGTTCATTCATAAAAAGGTAATCAGGAGCAATGTTTTCCTTTTGGTGTCCAAGTCAATGGCTGGCACCTAAATTCTATTTTCATCCTTACTAGTTCATTATTCAGCTGGGGAGAGGGAAGTAATGCATGATTAACAGTGGGGGGGTGCGCAGGGGTTACCAATCTTTAAGCAGGAAGCATTTTCTGAATTTATAAGTTCTGTTTAAACAAATGTCTACCTTTACATTATGATATCCAGATGAGCTCACTTTAGCATTATTCCAATATTACATTTTTGAGCTGCTGTCCACTAATATATTCTCATCCTTCACTTCTATCCTGTGTTGAAGTCGCCCAGGTATCCTGGGAATCAATGTACAGTATTGTTACTACTTAGAAAATGCAAATGTGACTACTTAGCTTTGACTGGTAACCACAAGAGTTATCAGCCACTTGAGGCACAGTAACACAATGTTACGTAGTATTTAGAACAGATACAACTGTTTTTCCAGTGAAGGGAACTCTTTGTTAGTCAAACACTAAAGAATCAACATAAAACTGGCTACACCAGGAGCAGGAAGTGCTATAGGTTTTCCACAGGAGAGGCCCTCCAAACACTAAAACAAAGGCCTTTCCTTTCCCATTGTACAATCTGTCACTTTGAAACTTTAGTCCAGTCTTCGAAGTTGTAAACCTGTGAAGGGAACAAAAATATTACTTCCAAACCCTTTGTGGCTTATAGGCTACTTCCACCGAATCAGAGAACTGCGTTTAATTCAAACCCCAGGACTGGAGCCAAACGGTGGTCTATGGACCACAAGATGCCAACTTTTTAGTGGACTAAAGACAAAGGCAAGAAAAACAAGATGGGTCTGGGTATCTAATCATAGACTGAGACTTACAGGATAGGAAATGTCCTGATCTGGCAGTGCAACATTTATAATTAACGGAGATGCCCCTTGTGACCCAAAACTACTTTCTGTCTTTTGAGTTATGGCTCGTTATGCCGAAGGGCTGAGTTTTAAAAGCCTGGACACAGGAACATTAAAAGGTGAGAGGTGAAGTCTGTCCCTGTACTCAACAGATTTAAACCCGACTTCCGGTTACAAACACCCTTCCTTAAACCTAGGTCTCTAAAAGCTCCTACAAAACCAATCCCCAGTCGGAGGCTGGCAACAAGGACGAGGGACCAAGCATGCAGTGACCTTTCGAATCTTCAGCGTGCCCATCTCCATCCAGTGAGGAAACAGACTCAGGCGCCTCGCTTTCCATCTCGAGTCTGGGAGCCCGGGGCAGGAGTCAGCGCTGCGGATGCCAGCTCGTTCCTCCTGGCCCCGCCGTGGCTGCCCCGAGCCCGCTGCCCTTCCTGGCTCCGATCCCCATCCCCCAAGCGCGGGAAGACAGGCACCCAGGGACATCGCAAGCTACGCCTGTGGCCGCTGCCCGATCCAAACACAGCGAGGTCTCCGGGGCCCTGCGCCCGGGCCTTCCGACCCGCTGGGCGCACCTGTATTTGCGGCCCCCACAGCCGTAGGCCCGCGCTCCGCATCCCCGGGCTCCGCACCGCGCGCGCCCCGGGCCCCGCCCGATATCCAGCCTCGCCCGCGGGGCGCCTCACCTGCTTGCCCCGATAGAACAGGCGCTGGCACTCGGGCCGCACGTCGAACAGCGCCCACACCCGCTCGCGCAGCTCCTCGATGGTGGCTTTGCGGGAGACGTCCTCGACGGTGCGCGTCTGGGAGCCATCGATGGTGCGGACCTGGATCCACATCGCGGCCGGGGGACAAGGGTCCGGCCCCCTTTGTCTGCCCCTGCGCTCGGGCCGCCGCGCCCGCCCCGCCCGGCACGGCCCCCGCCGCCTCCCCCGGAAGGCTCGGGTTCTCCGCCGCGGCTCGGCGAACGCGGGTGCGGTGCGTGCGAGGACGGACGCTCCGGACCGCGCGACCGCCCACCCCTCCGAGGTGAAAGGAAACCGGAACCCGCCCAAGGCGCTCGCTCGCGGGCTCGCTTGATCGCTCGATCCCGCAGCCTCCGCCTCCGAGGCCGGGACGGACCGTGGCTCGGCCCCGCGGAGTGTTTACTTATAGAGCTCTGGCTCCCACATGGAGGTCACGGCGCCAACCCGGATCTCGCGAGATCCACGCGGGGCTCCGCCTCACGCACAGCCCCAGGGCACTAATATAGGAAGGGGCGGGGCTTTCGGAGCCGTTAGTCGAGGGGGGGAGGGGCGTGGGGCTCGCAGGGTCGGGCACGCCCTATGCGCTGCGTCCTCGCGTGCTGCCCTCCTCGGCTGGGAGACGCGTGGCCGCGCTGGGGCCGAGGCGCTGTGGCGTCAAACACACAGTAAAAATCACTACCCGTGACGCACACTTGCATGGCCGAGAAATGGGGGCGCAGCCCAGTCCCCCAGCCGTCACACGGGGACGTGGGAGCCCGCTACTGAGCCAGCGCCCGCCACGCGGCCTAGCGAGGCCTACGAAAGGCCCCGGGCTGCGTCGGCTTCGTGGATGCGGCCCCCGCACGGCCTTCTGCGGAAACCCGCTCCACGCGGCCCCCAAACAGGCTCAGGCCGCTTGCTTCGCGCAGGGCCGCGGCGCTCCCACTCCCACCCCCGCCAGGCGCCTGCGGAGCAGGCACGGGAGGTGACCGAGTCGGCCTCCTGCGCTAAGGGCGCCTTTGGCCGCAGGGATTCTGGGTTTACAGAACTGTACACCTCCCAGCAAAAAAATCCGAAACTCCCAGGGGGAACACGGCCCCCCACACCGGGCCAAAGCAAAAGGAAAAGCTTTTGAGAGAAAGCAAAGCAAATGTGTAGCCTACATTCACCGATACGGGTGACTTGGATCTTCAGTGCTAGAGTCGCAAATTTGCAACCACCAAATCAATTACAGCCAAGATGGCCTAACGGGGAAAAGACAGGAAACGTGGAATGTACATACGCACTTCGTGTCTCTGCCAGCTTCTGGGGGAAAAAATATATCCACCTGCTTCCTAATTAAAACATCTAGCAGACGAAGCGATAGATATATCTGAGCACATCTGATCTTACCCGGGAGGGCATCAACCATTTGGTGCCACAAGGCTTTGCAAGCGTCTTGGGCAGTTAAAGTGTGCGCCATGCACTGTGTGACTTGAGTTTAACGGCCTGCTGCAGTCTGAAGCCAGCGCTGAGTGCTGGGCTCCTGGGTTGAGGGAGACACACAAGAACTGTAATGCTTTCTACTTAAAATGGGATCTTGAGCAAATTGCTTGGATTTCCTCCACGTAAAACTGTGCATATAAACACCTAGCGAATGTTACCTTCCTGCTAATACCCACAATAGGGTATTTTAGAGAGTTTGTTATCAAGAGAATTTAGATAAACTGGGAATGTTCTAAGAACACAGTGTGCTTAAGCAAAGATTGGAAGTGTGCGTTTCACACATCAGAAAACACTGCATATCAGAGAGGTTGACTAAATAAAGAAGGGCGATGTGTGAACATTAGCATTCAAAAGCAGGCTTTTGTAGGCCTCAGGGGGGAAACCTAAGCCTTTTAAAGGCTGCATTGATGTGTTTAAGTATTTAGAATGACGGCAGTAGTGTAGAAGGATGCCTTAGGGGAGAGCAAACTGTGGGAAGGTGAGAGAGGTTGAAATTTAGCCAAGAGGCAGCTGTTACCCATTTTGAAAAAAAAAAATGAGAGACAGTGAGAATATATTCTTTAGTGTTCTGGGAACCTGAGCACCTGAAACTTGAAGAATTTGTGGATGTAAAGAATGCAGACAATGGAAAGTTGACAGCAATTCTCAGAGACGCCTAAGTGGATGGGTTGGATAAATGGTGTTAGCTAGAACAGGAATCAAGCTGGGGGAAATGCCTCGATTTCCCCTTGTGTTGTACTGTATTTGAAATAGATTCCAAACGTACCTAAGTGAAGCTCTTTGATAGTTGGAAATAACTGTCCAGGAGACTGAAGGGAAGAAGGAAGGTTCTGAGAAAAAGACTAGTCTTCTTGTAGTAATGGTGTTTGATGGAGACACATTTTGGCAAATAGAGAAATCGGTGGTATCGATTGATATGAGAATATAAGGGGATATTCTGTTTGGTGGAGTTACTGTAACAGGGGTGGGGGTATATGTAAAAATATATTGAACATTGTTTATATGCCTTTTTTATATATGCTTACAATCACATTTATATAAAGATCCTTCTTAGAAAAAGTAGGGTTTCATTTTCTACCTACTGATGGTATATATGAAAGCATAAGCCCTGTCACTGTTTTTAGGGCTAATCTGTACAGAAATATCACAAAGCAAGTTTCCTCTGCGCTCTCAGTGATTAATTTGGAAGAAAACCCAAATGTAAGACTTGGATCTGGTTAAAGGGTTTTGGTGGTGGTGGTGGTTGGTTGGTAGTTGTTTTTCATTCTTTTTTGCTTATTTGAAAATCTCATGTACCCCTGACTGGGCTCAAACTCGTTGTGTAGTGTTGGGGTCACATTTAGCTTAGAAAGCTCAATTTAAAGTCTATGGGTTATGCTGTTGATACTGGTGAAAGACTGGTGGCTCTGGAAAGGTAGTGTTCAGGCACACGTGGGCTTGTGTGTATACACGCGTTCTCTTCTACATGTACCTGCTATCTGCACAAATATGTTCATGTGAGTATGCATAAAACGTTTGCATGCACACACATACCTGAATGTGCCCCTGTGTGTGTGTGTGTGTATGTGTGTGTGTGTATGTGTGTGTGTGTGTGTGTGTGTGTGTGTGTGTGTGTGTGAGTGAGTGTTCAGCACTGGAGGACTTTAATTTAACAAAGGTTTCACAAAATGGAGTAAAGCTGTGAGTCACAAAACTGAAGGTTGTGCTGGGTTTCTGTGTTCTGATAGTCTAGCTAGAACTAAGAAGATCCGGGGAAATGTTCAGCTTCCTGCTATTTGTCCTAGGGGATTCACCAGCCCAGTCTTGACCCCTTTGCTCATCACTCCTCCCTCTCTGTCACTGGGTTCCAGGAGTTCAGTTCAGTGTTTAGCTGTGAGTTTCTGCCTCTGCTTCCATCTGTCACTGGATGGAGGTTGTAGGATGGTATGTAAGATAGTCATCAAAATCATTATCAGGGAGGGGCATTTAAAGTAGTCTCTCCACTACTGCTGAGTTTGCCAGTTGGTGTCATCCTTGTAGATCTCTGGAGATCTCACTAGTGCTAGATCTCCCCTCAAACCTATAATGACTCCCTCTATTATGGTATCTCTCATCCTGCTCTCCTCTATTCTTCCCCCAACTCAACCTTTCTGCTCCCTCATGCCTTTCTCTCTCCTCCTTTTCTCCCCCCTCTCTTTTTCCTGTCCCCCCCCATGCTCCCAATCTGCTCAGGAGATCTTGCCTCATTCCACCTTCTCTGGGGTATCATGCATATCTCTTTTAAGGTCCTTTCTGTTTCCCAGACTCTCTGGCAGTGGGATTGCAGACTGGCACTCCCCTGATTCATGTCTAAAATCCATATGTGAGTGAGTACATACCATGTTTGTCTTTTTGTGACTGAGTTACCTCACTAAGGATGGTTTCTTCTAATGCTATCCATTTGCCTGCAAATTTCAAGATATCATTGCTTTTTTCCCCCCACGAAGTAGTACTTCATTGTGTAAATGTACCGCATTTTCTCTAACCACTCTTCAGTTGAGGGGCATCTAGGTTGCTTCCAGGTACTGACTATTACAAATATTGCTGCTATAAACATAGTGAAACAAACATCCTTGTTGCATGAATGTGAATCTTTTGGGTATATGCCTAAGAGTGGAATTGCTGGGACTTGCGGTAGACTGATTTCCATTTTTCTGAGGAATCTCCATACTGATTTCCCTAGTGGCTATACAAGTTGATATTCCCATCAGCAGTGGAGTGTTCCCCTTCCTCCACATCCTCTCCAGCATAAACTGTCATTGGTGTTTTTGATTTTAGCAATTCTGACAGGAGTAAGGTGGTATCTCAGAGTTGTTTTGATTTGCATTTCCCTGATTGCTAGGGATGTTGAGCACTTTCTTAAGTGTCTCTCAGCCATTTTAGTCTCCTCTATTGAGAATTCTCTATTTAGTTCTATAGACCACTTTTTAATTGGATCCTCTGGAGCTTTGGAGACTTGCTTCTTGAGTTTCTTGTAGAGTTTTGAGATCAGCCCTCTATCAGATGTGGGGTTAGAGAATATCTTCTTCCATTCTGTGGGCTGCCTTTTTGTCTTGTTGACTGTGTCCTTTGCCTTACAGAAGTTTCTTAGTTTCAGGAGGTCCCATTGGTTAATTGTTGATCTCAGTGTCTGTGCTACTGGTGTTAAATTCAGGAAGTGGTCTCCTGTACCAATTTGTTCAAGGGTACCTCCCACTTTCTCTTCTAAAAGGTTCAGTGTCACTGGATATATGCTGAGGTCCATTTGGACTTAAGTTTTGTACATGGTAATAGACATGGATCTATCTGCAGTCTTCTACATGTCAGCATCCAGTTATGCCAGCACCATTTGTTGAAGATGCTTTCTTTTTTCCATTGTATAGTTTTAGATCCTTTGTCAAAAACCAAGAGATCATATCTGTGTGGGTTAGTATCAGGGTTTTCAATTCAATTCCATTGGTCTATCTGCCTATTTTTGTGCCACTACCAAGCTGTTTTCAGGACTATAGCTCTATAATAGAGCTTGAAGTCAGGGATGGTGATGCCTCTGTACGTTGCCTTGTTGAACAGGGTTGTTTTGGCTACCCTGGGTCTTTTGTCTTTCCATACAAAGTTGAGAATTTTTCTTCCAAGGTCTGGGAAGAATTGTTCTGGAATTTCAATGCGGATTGCACTGAGTCTGTAGATTGCTTTTGGCAAGATTGCCATTTTTACTATCTTGATCCTATCAATCCAAGAGCATGGGACATTTCTCCATTTTCTGGCGACCTCTTTAATTTCTTTCTTTAAAGACTCAAAGTTCTCGCCATACAGGTCTTTCACTTGTTTGGTTAGCATTACCCCAAGGTATTTTATGTTGTTTGTGGCAATTGTAAAGGGTGATGTATTTCTTATTTCTTTTTCAGCCCACTTATCATCTGTATTTAGTAGGGCTACCAATTTTCTTGAGTTGATCTTGTAATCCTACCACTTGCTGAAGGTATTT